TCTTGGCTGAAAGCAAAGAACACCAGAAAGGTGTTTACCCATGTTTTACTGACTATGCAAAGGCATTCAAGCTGTGGATCATAACAAATTATGGATAATATTGTGAAGAATGGGAATTCCAGAACACTTAATTGTATTCATGAGGAACCTGTACATAGACCAAGAGGCAGTTGTTCAAATAGAACAAGGGTATACTGAATGGTTTCAAATCAGAAAGGGAGTGCATCAGGGTTGTATCCTTTCACCATACTTATTCAATCTGTATGCCGAGCAAATAATCTGAGAAGCTGGACTATATGAAGAAGAATGTAGCATCAGGATTGGAGGAAGACTCATTAACAACCTGCGATATGCAGATGACACAACCTCAGTTGCTGAAAGTGAGGATGACTTGAAGCCCTTGTTGTTGTTGTTAAGTGAAGCCCTTACTGATGAAAATTAAAGACTACAGACTTCAGTATTGAATATACTTCAACATAAAGAAAACAAAAATCTTCTCAACTGGACCAATAAGCAACATCATGATAAATGGAGAAAAGATTGAAGTTGTTTGTCAGGGATTTTATTTTACTTGGATTCACAATCAACACCCATGGAAGCAGCAGCCATGAAATCAGACATTGTATTGCACTGGGAAAATCTGCTGCAAAAGACCTCTTTAAAGTGTTAAGGAGTAAAGATGTCACTTTGAAGACGAAGCTGCACCTAACCCCAGCCATATTTTCAATCACCTCATACTCCTCGGAAGGAAGGTTGGGCAATCTACTTTTGTAGTGATACCGCCTCAGAAACCCAAGGAGGGGTCGCTGTGAGTTGGATCTGACTCGACAGCAGTATGTGTTATGCATGTAAAAGCTGGACAGTGAATAAGGAAGACCACAGAAGAATTGATGCATTTGAATTGTGTTGTTGGCGACGAATACTGAAAATACTATGGACTGCCAGAAGGAATCTGTCTTGGAAGAAGTATAACCAGAATGCTCCTTGGAAGCGAGAATGGCCAACTTCATCTCACATGTTTTGGTCATGTTGTCAGAAGGGACTATGCCCTGGAGAAGGCTATCATGCTTGGTAAAGTAAACGGTCAGCAAAAAAAGGGACACTCAATGGGATGGATTGACACAGTGGTGGCAACAATGGGCTCAAGCATAGTAATGATTGTGAGGATGGTGCAGGATCCAACAATGTTTCATTCTCTTATCGTGGGGTCACTATGAGTGGGAGCTGACCCCACAGCACCTGACAACAACAATAAAAGAATGCATATGCCGTTTCATTGAGGTAATTTCTCTCTCTCTCAGCTCCACTGGATTTGCTTCTCTAAATAACCCAGCCTAAGACAGTCTAACTAGGAATAAAGGCCTGGAAATCTACTTCCAAAACTCAGCCAATGAAAACCTTACGGATCACAGCAGAATATTGTCAGACACAGCCCTGCACAATGAGCCCCTTAGGTGGGAAGGCTCTCAAAACACAGGGGCTGAACCAGAAGGCTGGAGGTTCAAACCCACCAGCCACTCCTCGGAAGGAAGATGGGGCAATCTATTTCCGTAGTGATACTGCCTCGGAAACCCAAGGAGGGGTCGCTATGAGTCAGGTCGGCCTCGATGTCACATAACAACAAACAACAAGCACCTGTGGACTGAAACACACCAACAATCCTGAACACGGAGCATTCAGAACCCGGCAACACTTTGTTCTGTACGTGGGGTTACCATGAATCGGGGTCCGCATGCGTCCAAGCGACTAAATTCACAACCAACAATCTCAATCCCGGGTCCCAGTCACAGAGACCACTGACCACGCCCTTGGAGCCGGACCACGCCCAAGGGACGCCACGCATGCTCCGTCCGTAGCCGGCCCCAGCCAAGCGCAAAATCGGCACAAACCATCTCCATCTACTACCCGGGAAAGGGAGGCCATGGAAATAGGGAAAGGATGGAAACTACATTTACCGTTTATTTATGAATATCCCTGGACTATACTTACAGTGGTCGTGTGATATAGGGCACGGATGCTGACTCGGACTTCCGGGTCTGTCTCCTACTGTTGTGGGAGCTTTTGACTAGATCTCCCCCCATCCGTGGTCGCCTTGGTGCCGCCCAGCAGGTCACGTAGTCTGGAAGATGGCAGCCCCCAGAGCACCCTGCTTCTGTCGCGGCTGGTGAAGCGACGACTACGGGGACGTACCGGACCCGCGGATCCTGCGCTTCGGGAACTGGCTGGGACGTTTTGGCCGCTGGGAGTACGGTGCGCGGCCCGGGCCAGGCGGTGGTTTCGGGGAGGACGCCTCGTTGGGGGATGTGGTCTCCGAGGATCCCTTCGATGCTAAGGACCTGAGGGTCTCTGTGATCACTTCCTTCCTTGTTCTGGGGTTTCTTTTTTAGGGATCCCTTCGCTGAGAGACCCGGGGAGCCAGCCTGTGAGGGATCCAGTAGTGGCGGGTCCGCGTAGACAACTGGAGGCATCTGGTTCCGGGGTATCTCTTCCGAGGGGCCCCGAGGAGCGGATCGTGTCAGGGGCCTCTGGAGAGCAGCCCCTGAGGGATCGCGTATGGGCACAACCCCTTCTGGGGAGAGGGGCTGTGTCTAATACGGGAGATGTCCTTGTTGGGGGTTTAGAGATTCCGAGGGTCTCTGGGATTTGGTTTCCTTCTAACATGTCCTTGGAAGGCTCCTTGGTGATTGCCTTTATTTCAAAGAGACTTTCACGCTTGTGAGTGGATTTCCAGATTCTCCCTTGGCCGGTTAAATCCTTACATCCCAGCGCCCCGTCCTTGTCCCCCTTGCCCCTGAGGAATGGGACTAAGAGATGAGTTAAGGTCTTAGACACAGCTGTTTGTTTTCCAGCCAGAAATATTTAATACTGTTGTTGTTAGGTGTCCCCAAGTCAAGTTTCAACACATAGCGACCCCAAGTGATGGAGTGGAACTGGGTTTCCGAGGTGGTATCTGTGAGCTCTGGTAGCATAGTGCCTAAGGCACTTGACTGCTAACCAGGAGGCTGGCGGTTCAAACCCACCAGCCACTCTCCGGAAGGAAGGTTGGGCAATCTACTTCCGTAGTGATACTGCCTCGGAAACCCAAGGAGGGGTGGCTATGAGTCGGATCCAACTCCACTGCACATAACAACAAACAACAATCTGTACGGAAGTAGATTGGCCAATCTTCCTTCCAAGGAGTGGCTGGTGGGTTTAAACCGCCAGCCTCGTGCTTAGCAGTCAGATGCCTTAGGGTTTCCTAGGCTGTCATCTTTATGGGAGCAGATGCCAGGTCTCTCTCCCGTGGAGCCACTGGATGAGTTCAAACCACCAATCTCTCAGCAGCCAAGTGCTCGTGCATTGCACCCCCAGCTCTCCTTTATCAGGTGTCCGTGGTACGAGGCATCCTACTAGGTGCTGTGAGCATCCTTTGATTCACAGCAAGTAAGGTCCATGTGCTCCTTACAGCTATTTACACATGAGAGGCTGTGTCTAAAGTGCTTGGTACTGTGGTCCGAGATGCCAAGACTTAATAGCTCATGAAATAAGAGCTATTAATGTTTTGATTCCACATGAAGAAACTGAGCTCCGAAGCATACAGCCAAGTTCAGGAGCAGAGCCGGGATGGCATTGCAGGTGTAAGCCTGGAGCTCTGACCCCTCCCCTCTTCATCTCCCTCTGCAGCCAGGGCTGCCTTCTAGCCGTAGATTTCTCTTCATTCCTGGGGGTTTAAGGTTTCTGAGGAGGAGGAAGCAATGAGGAGCGCTGGCCAGCACAGCGAGGGTCAGGAATCCTGAGTCCTGTCTGCCCTTGACAAGTCGGTGCTCCTCTGGGTAGAGTGAGGAGTTAAGTCTTGCTAGCCCTCCCCGTGCTGCCAGCTCACACCTTCCTGCTCCCTGTTGAGGCGGCACCCTCTCTGGATGTCACCTGGGCTCAGGTCACTGCGCCTCCTCCATTAAGCCCGTTCAGTCCCACTGACTCCTCTGGGAACCCGAGCTGGCTGCCAGCATGCTGTAGCCTGCTTGTCCTGTTTATGGAGCGTCCCCACTTTGTCAGCTGTGTTTTTCATCTTCTTCGTCCAGCCAGTGAACACAGCGTTTGTGGTTTAGAGCCTGACTCGGGAGCCAGACTGCCTGGATTCGAATGTCTTCACCCTACTGCAGCACTGTGCATCTGTCCTCTGTTAGGAACTGAATCATCTGCTCTTGGGACTGGTTGTATTTGGTTCAAATAGTTTCAGTTTGAGGTTTAAAGATAGCCTCAGGGTGATAGTTTTTTGGAGGGTGATTCCAGAAAGTCTGGATATTGGATCCCCTGTGGCTGCAGCAGGCAGACCCAACCAGTGGAGGCTATTGTTGATGTATAGGTAAGAGGTGGTGGGGAAATTGAAGCCCAGAGAGGGACAGTCATTTAAGGAAAACTGCACAGCAAGTAGGCAAGGTGAGTGCTGAGCTTTCAACCTCCATTGCCAGGTTGTTCAGTGGGTGGGAAACCTCCCTGCCCTGGACTGAACTGTCTAATGAACAGGTTAGTGAGTGCTGAAGGTCACTGTCTTAGTTATCTAGCACTGCTGTAACAACTATCACAAGGGGGTGGCTTTAATAAACAGAAATTGATTTTCTCACAATTTAGGAGGCTAGAAGTCTGAGTTCAGGGCTCTGGTTGTGGGGGAAGCTTTCTCTGTGGGCTCTGGGGGAAGGTCCTTGTCTCTTTCAGCTTCTGTCCAACAGTGTTTGTGGCTTGGAGCCAGACGCGGGAGCCGGGCTTCCACGGTGATCTCCGCGTGGTAGCATCTCTCTTCCCCCGCTGCTGCTGCTTGCTTCATCATATCTCAGAAGAGATCGCAACACACCCTACACTAACCCTGCCGTATTTACATAACAAACGGGGTTATGACCACAGGCAGGGGGTTAGGAGTCACATATTTTGGGGGACACAATTCGATCCCTAACAGTTAACCGTGAACCCTGGCTCTTGTTCTGCCGCTGTAGATTCTCGAGCCTCGGAATCCCCAGGCAGACCGCCTGAGCACCATGGTGACTGAGCAGGAGGTAGAGGCAATTGGGCGGACGCTGGTGGACCCCCAGCAACCCCTGCAGACCCGCTTCCGGGCACTCTTCACGCTGCGTGGGCTCGGTGGCCCTGGCGCCATCGGCTGGATCAGCCAGGCCTTTGGGGACGACTCCGCCCTGCTCAAGCATGAGCTGGCATACTGCCTGGGCCAGATGCAAGACAAGCGTGCCATCCCTGTGCTGGTGGACGTGCTGCGGGACACCCGCCAGGAGCCCATGGTACGCCACGAGGCAGGTAAGCTGTGGTGCCTTCTGCTCCTCCCCTTTCATGGCCTCTGCTCACTCCCAGAGGGTATGGAGCAGCACTAGAAAAGCTACTTCTATAAAGGGCCAAAGAGTAAGTATTTTTGGCCTTCTGGACCAAGCAGTCTTGTTGCAACTACTTAATTCTGCAACAAGAGAGCAAAAGTCAGTAAACACAGCAGTTAAATGAATGGGCGTGGCTGTGTGCCAATAAAACTTTATTTAGGGACACAGGTTTGCATTGCATAAAATTTTCAGGTGTCCCCCCAGATAGTATTCTTTTGAAGTCTTAAAACCATTAAAAAATATATAAAAGCCTTTCTTCACTCACAAGCCATACAAAAATGCTTTGCAAACCCCTGAAGGCTATCACAGGAGTCCCAGGGTGATGCAAAAAATTAAGTGCCCAGCTATTAACCGTAGCGTAGTGCCTAAGGCATTTGACTGCTAACCAGAAGGCTGGCAGTTCAAACCCACCAGTCACTCCTTGGAGGAAAGGTTGGGCAATCTACTTCCATAGTGATACCGCCTCAGAAACCCAAGAAGGGGTTGCTATGAGTCAGGTCTGACTCGACAGCACATAACAACAACATTAACTGAAAGTCTGGCAGTTCAAACCCACCCAGAGGCGCCTGGGAAGAAAGGCCTGGCAATCTGCTTCCAAAAGGTCACAGCCATTGAAAACCATTGGCTTACAGTTCAACCCTAAGACACATGAGTCGGAATCAACTTGATGGCAACTGGTGTTGGTGGATGGTGTATTACAGATGTATTTCACCATTCAGCACACGTTTGTCAAGCCCCTACAGTGTGCCAAGCCCTGTTGTTAGTGGAGGGGACAGGGCAGTGGTAGACAGCCACGGCCCCTGTTCCAGTGAGGGATGCACCGGGAACCAGTGCGTGAAACACGCGGCGCGTCTGTGCCTGGCAGCCCGTGTTTCTGGAGTTCGTTTGCGGTTAGTATGTGGAGGGCGTGTCAGGCGGAGGTGCTGCTGGCACACGGGGGCGTCCTTCTCAGCGGTGGGAGCGGCCAGGCAGGAGTGTCGTTAGGTGCCATCAAGTCGGTCCTGGCCCGTAGTGACCTCATGTACAACAGAACGCAGCACAGCCTGCTGGTTCACGGGCAGGTGTAGAGGTACCAGGGACAGCCTCGGGCAGGAAAGGGAGGAGACGTCAGCTCGGCTGCCACCTGGGCCGGGGCCTTTGAGCACCTTCTTTGAAATGGACCTGTGGGTGGCACAAATGGTTAAGGTGCCACTGCTGGCTAAAAGGTAGGGCGATTCGGGCCACCCAGCGTGCCTCGTTAAATAGCCCTGGCAATCGGCACTCAAGAGGTCGCCGCCTAGAAACCTACGGAGCAGTTCTCTGCACACACGGGCCACCCTGAGTTGGAATCTACGGCCCCAGCAACAGTCACAACAAAGCGTGTACGGGCAGTCCTCGACACAGGTCGGGGTTCCAGTCACACGACTCCGTCACAGTGAGTTCTGACGTTATGTCCAGTTCCTCACTGTTTAAAAGTGTTCATTAGCGTTGCCTTATTGTCCGTATCTTTATAAACCCAGACTTTCCTTGTCTTTGGGAGTTGGAAACACGACACGTAAATTTACAGATACATTTCAATACATACATTACAAACAATTACAAATCATAAAACTTTACTGTGACCGAGAAGCTTGGACGACATTGGCTTTTTGTCAGCTGTGGTGGTAACTCCACTTGGGGAAGGTGTGGACCATCTGGATTATCCCTGGCGTCTCTAGTCAGAACATGAGACTTGTCTACGGTCCTTTCCCGTTTTCCTTCATCTCTTGTGCTGTAATGTCTCACCCGAAGCTGCCTGTTGACTTTAGCAAAGCAGTCACCTTTGGCTCCGTGTTTTCAAGCAACCAAAGCCCCTGGTGTAGTTTAGGAAAAACTCCAGCTAATCCTTCCGCTGGAAACTTTTTCAACAGCTTCTCTCCTTCCTCTTCCTCATTCTTTCTTTCTTCTTCAGCATTTCTTTCTTCTTCCCCTTAAGTCCTGACCTGGCCCCTGCCCTTCTTCCAGTGGTCAGGAGCTGCTCCATGGGAGCGATACCTAGTTCGGAATTCCGTGTTCTTGCGATTTTTCCACCAATCTTGTCCGTCACACTCTCCTGATCAAATGCTCGAAGCGTGTTCTCATAGCTCAGCCCCGTTTCCCACATCCCCTGTGTGCATTTTCCCGTAACTTCTTCCCGGGAAGATGCAACGTTCTAGATACATCATCACCAGTGTGACTCGTCTTAACTTGAATACATTGTAAGTCGGAGACTGCCTCTGTAGCAAAGCGTTTGTCGTTTTCCCTGTTTCTGAGTGTATACCACTCAGTGACATGAATTACATTCACCACGTTGTGCAACCATCCCGCTATCCGTTCCCACAATTTCTCCTCACCCCAAACAGAAACCTAGCCCCCATGATGCCCTAACTCCGGCTCCCTCCACCCCCGGCCCCCGGTGACCACCAGTTGGCTTTCTGTCTCTGCGTTGGCTTTTCTAGAGATTTCACGTCAGTGGGGTTGGACCCCCTGTGGCTCTCTGTCTGCGTCTCTCACTGGCACCGTGTTCTCACGATTCATCCATGTCCTAGAATGGATCGGTGCTTCGTGCCTTCTCATTAAGGAGCCTTGGTGGCGCAGTTGTTGAGCGCTCGGCTCCATGGGAGAAAGACCTGGCCATCTGCTCCCATAAAGTTCACAGCCAAGAAACCCCCCAGGGCAGCTGTTTTCTGTCACTTGGAGTAGCTCTGTGTCACAATCCACTTCAGGGCACCCAACGACAGTGTCCCATTGTGTGGATGGACTGCACTGTGACTCTCCACCATCCGTGGGTGGACACTTTGTTCTTTTCCCCTTTTGGCGATCGGGAACAGCTGCAGGGCACTGGTGTCCGCGGGTCGGTGTGGGCCCCTGCTTTCACACCTCGTGGGCCTGCACCCGGGAGGGGAACCGCCTGTCTTCAGACATGGATGCAGAACTCGGTTTTAAGGAGAGGGAGGTGAACACCAATACCCAGGCCCCTCTTCCTGTGGAGAGGCACCCCAGCCCTGCCCAGTTCTGTTCCTGGGACAGGTTGCCCTTCCCTCCAAGCTGCCTGAATGGCATCCCTGCTGCTGAATCACTTCCAGCTCCAAAGACTCCAGCCCCGAAGCCTGGCCTTTGTTTCCATTTGATTGTTGGGGGATGGCGGGGGAGCATTTCAAGCTTTCCCAACATGCTTTCCAGCTATTCTTAGCTGCCCCCTGGGCAACCCAGGTAACCCAAGAGTCCCTTTCCTTAAAGCCCTTTTTACAAAGAACCTTCTACCCTAACCCTTGTTTACAGAGCAAATTTGTTTTCCACGCAACAGTTCCTATGGATTTTGTTCTGTGACACTGACTGCAACTCCCACAATGTAACAGCTCTCTTCCAACTACCTCCCTGTGGTTACTTTTTCCCTGTGTCCTCCTTTTCTGTGTAGTCCTGCCCCTGAGCTCGCTCTCTGTGCAAACACCGCCCTTCTGGTCTCCTGTGGTTGGTTGGTGTAGAGTGGACCTACCTGATGTACATATTCACCTTTGACACCTCTGCTGTTTGGCTGGAAGCCACCGGAGTGAGTTGTTTCAGGCCTGAAGGGTGCCTCCAGGCCATAGTCTCGGGGGTTTCACCAGAGTCTCTATCTGGGTCTTTCATGATTTTGAGTTTTGTTCCACATTTTTCTCCCTTCTATCCAGAATCTCCTATTTAGGTCCTTCCTGAGTGGTCAGCGCTGGTAGCCAGGCACCGTCTAGCTCTTCTGGTCTCAGGGTCACGTAGGCTGAGGTTTCCATAGTCCACTAGTCCCTGGGGTTGTTTCCACGTTCTTTGGTTTTCTTCACTCTTTGCTCCAGATGAGGAGAGACCCATTGTTGCATCTAGATGGCCGCTTGCAAGCTTTTAAGACCCCAGTCACTACTCACCAAAGCAGGATGTAGAACAGTATTTTTGTGTAGTATTTTATGCCAGTTGAGCTTGATGTTCCCTGCAACCACGGTCCCTAGCCCGCCACTCCAGCGACTCACTCTTTTGAGCAGTTTGGCTGTGGCTGAGAAGTTACCATCACTTTGCTCCTGTTAGCTCTGTTACGTACATGTTGGTCTTCTGGGCTCTGCTGTTTGTATTGTGCCATTTTGCAGAATGCCATACCGTACTTTAGTGGAAACACTTGTGTCAGTGGGAAGGAGGAAAAATATAACAGGGAACGGGGTGGGAATGACGGAGCAGCGATGATGGGTGAACAGAGACCTGAATGAAGTAAGAGAGTTATCTATGGAAACAGTGTTTCAGGCAGACAGAACAGCCCATGCAGGGGCCTTGAGGCAGGACCAGGCTTGGTGAGTTGGAGGAGCAGTGAAGAGGCCTATGTGGTTAGAGGGGAGGGAGTGAGAGCAAGAGAGGAGGAGGGGAGGGCATGGAGGAATGGAAATTGACTGTACAAGGGAAATCAGGAGGGCTTCTTGAAGGAGGTGTCATTAAATGGGGGAGGTTTATGTGATACTTGATGAGGTAGATCTGACCTGGGTATCACAGAGGGCATCTTGGAGGAAATGGCAGTGGAGCTGAGACCCAAGGGAGGTGAGGGAGCCAGTCATGCAGGGATGTGGGGGAGGGCCTTCCAGGTAGAAGGAACAGCCACTGCAAAGGCCCTGAGGCAGCACCAGGCCTGGAGAGCTGGAGGAACAGAGAGGAGGCCAGTTTGGCTGAAGCAGAATGAGCAAGGGGAGCGGGGAGGAGGAGAGGGCAGGGAGGGACGAGGCAGATCGTGCTGGGCCCTGTGACTTCAGTGGGGAGGACTTTTATCCTGAGGGAGGTGGGAGCCCTGGAGGGCCGTGAGCAGAGGAGGGACAGATCCATTTGGACCACATGAATGACGGTAACCTGCCTGCCCAACAGTAGCCTGGGAGCAGAAGAGGGAGTTTGAGGGAGGTGAGCGTGTCCCCAGCCTCATGTCCCTGCTCAGGCCTGTCTGTGCTCACAGGAAGGTGGCCAGCTCCTTTGTGTGGCCCACAAGGCCCGGCCCAGTCTGACACCTGCTGACTTCCAGCTGCATTGTGGGGTGCACCTCCTGACCTGTCCCTCACAACTGACACCCCTGGCCTCAGGGCCTTGGCACATGCTGCTCCCACCCCTGGAAGACCTCACTCTCATGCTCTGTGTTGGTCGGACAGCCTTCATCCCTCTCATCACAGAAGGCTTTCCCAGATGGGCACGACTTGTCCAGCCCCCCATTGAATGTTCTCAGAGCCCTCCCATCAGCCTGGTCCCTGAGTTGATTCTGACTCATAATGACCCCAGGTGACAGGAGAACTGCCCCACAGGGTTTCCTAGTCTGTCCTCTTAGCCAGAGCAGGTCCCTAGTCTTTCTCCTGCAGAGCCACTGGGTGGTTTCAAACACCAGCCTCTTGGTTAGCAGCCAAGCACTTACCCATCACACCACCTGGGCTCCTTGGAGCTTCAGCTAGCTTCAGTCAAGACCAAGTTCTGGGAGAAGGACTCTGGTTGGCCCAGCTTGAAGCCTGGACCTGTGCCTGCTCCAGTCATCTGTGGCCAGGGGCGGGGCCACACGATACAGGCAGTTCTATGAGGTGTGGGCTGCCATTGGGAGGTGGGGGAGCAAGAAGAAGGTGATGTAAGTTATGTGGACACCCCCATTTCCCAACCAACAGAGCTCTCTTGTGGGTTCTTTTCAGGGGAGGCGCTGGGGGCCATTGGGGACCCGGAAGTTCTGGAGATTCTGAAGCAGTACTCCATGGACCCCGTTGTTGAGGTAATACTTCTGACCCTTGACCCTTCCTTCCGTCCCCCACTCCCTACCAGTCTTGGTTGGTCCGTGGGAAGCTCTGCCCAGCCCTGGCCTAAACCAGCCTCAGACCCTATCGCTGGTTGCCATGGTGACCATGTAGCCAAGGATGCTCCAGGGATAAGGGAGAAAGGTACAGCCAAGAAGGCCCATTTGACAAAACCAAACTCTTAATTCACTGAATCTTACAAAACCTGCTCCACCCTGGTTGGCGTCATCCCTGGGCCCGAGCCAGCGAGCTGTCCCTGCCTCCCACACCCAGTCCCCCTGCCAAGGCCTCCCTGAACCCACCCACTTCTCTCTGCCCCTGCTGCCACCACCCAGGTGCCCTGGACCTCTCCAGGGGTCTCCCTGCTGTTGCCCTTTTTCTTCCATAAGTCGATTGAGATTTAATGCATTTACCTTAGAGTTCACCCATTTCAAGGGGACAAGGCAGTGGTTTATAATATAGTCACACAGCTGTGTACTCATTCCAGAACATTCAGCAACCCAAAACAAAACCCCGTACCCTCCAGCAGTCACTTCCCATTCTATTTCCCTTTCCCAACCACGGCCCCCGGAAATGGGGATGGGGTCTGTCACACCCACCTAGTGTTCCTGGCGGCCAGCCCGGGAGGCACTTCACCCGCTCCCATGAGTGACACAGACCGTACCCCTCTCCCACAGGTGGCTGAGACGTGCCAGCTGGCGGTCCGGCGGCTAGAGTGGCTGCAGCAGCACGGTGGGGAGCTGGTGGGGGGGCCGTACCTCTCGGTGGACCCGGCCCCACCAGCCGAGGAGCGTGATGTGGGACGGCTTCGGCAAGTGCTTCTGGATGAGGCCCGGCCACTCTTCGACCGGTACCGGGCCATGTTTGCCCTACGCAACGCTGGTGGCGAGGAGGCCGCCCTGGCACTGGCAGAGGGTGAGGAGGGCCCTGGGGCGTGGGACTGTGGTGCCGGCATCTGTGACACCACACACCGAGGGCCGGGGGGTGAGAGGGAGAATGCCGAGGACTGGTCGGCACCCCCACGAGGCCCAGCGGCTGCCTCTGCGAAAGGAAGTGAAGGAGGGGATCCCACACCTGGTGTGGCTGTAGCCCCACATGTCCTCGAGGACACACAACTCGTCCTCAAGGCTAGTGGGCACCCTCTTGTGTCCATTTCACCAATGGGGAAGACTGAGGCACAGGAAGGCAAAGACGCCTGCCCGAGGTCTCACAGTTCATGGGAGGCCTAGTTAGGATCTGACCCTGGCACCTGTCCCCAGTGTCCTTACCCTCCTTAAACCTACTGCCATTGAGTCCATTCCAACTCGTAACAATAACGTAGGACAGAGTGGAACTGCCCCACAGGGTTTCTAAGGCTGCTAATCTTTACAGAAGCAAAACCCAAACCAAACCGCTGCCATCGAGTTGATTTTGACTTGTAGCGCCCCTAGAGGACAGAGAAGAATTTCCCCATAGGGTTCCCAGGGCTGTAAATCTTCATGGCAGCAGATTGCCTATCATTCTCTCACAGAGTGGCTTTGATCTGGTGGGTTTGATCTGCCGATCTTTTGATGAACAGCTCACTGCTTTAACCACTGTGCCGCTAGAGCTCCTTATACCCCACCCTCCTTGCTGCTGTTATTCCACCAGTTTCATCCAGGGCATGCTGTGCAGGGCCTTGGGGGCGAGGTTCCCCATCAGTGAAGCAAAGGAGGGGCGTGAGACATGGTGATCCCTGCCCGAGGGAGAAGGAGCCATGGAGTCCTGACCCCTGAGGTTTGCCCACCCTTGGGTCCACAAGGACCCAGCGCTGTTCTCTGCCCTCCAGGCATCCCCAAGGGGGCAGGAGAGATGGCCAGCCATCACCAACTTGGACTGAGGGTGGCAGGGGATCTGAGGGCCCCAGAGGATCCAGGAGGGAGCACAGAGGAGGGTTTGTCTTGGGTGATGGCTAAAAGCGGGGGACTCACACACAGCCAGCCAGCTCCCAATCCCAGCTCTACCAGGAAAGTAGTCTTAGGCAAGTCATGTCCCCCATCCATAAAATTACACCTATTTCACTGGAGCTGCAGAGAGGGCGAACGGGGTCGGCCGCCAGGTCATTTGCACTATTGTTGTTGTTGTTAATGTGCCGTCGAGTCGCCCTGACTCCTATCAACCCCTCCTTGGGTTTCCAAGGCAGTATCACTACAGAAGTAGATTGCCCAACCTTCCTTCTGAGGAGTGGCTGGTGGGTTTGAACCGCCAGCCTATTACTGATCCGGAATTGACATGGGAAAATATAAATAGGAATTGGAGACATGAATGCACAAGGCAGATGGCATTTCATGGCATCGTATCCAGGCAGCCCAGAAATTATTGAAAAATAATGTGGTCAGGGAGCTCTGGTGGTGTAGTGCCTAAGGCATCTGACTGCTAACCAGAAGGCTGGTGGTTTGAACCCACCAGCCACTCCTCAGAAGGAAGGTTGGGCAATCTACTGTCATAGAGATACCACCTGGGAAACCCAAGGAGGGGTTACTATGAGTCTAATAAACTCTACCGCAGTGAGTTTGGTTTGGTTTTCTTGAGGGGCATGAGGAGGAGGTGGGGGTGGGGCTGGGACCAGGAAGGGAACCAGTGGAGCCCAGGGTGACCTTCCTGTGGAGAGCGTTGTATTCCCAGTGCCTGCGTGGTGCAGGGGGTCAGAAGTGTTTTTCCAGCCCTCTGCCCGATGCTTCGATCACCCGCCTTTATGCTTAAAGCCTTCTGCTGGATTTAAAATGATCAGAGCCAGCCTCACCCTCCAGGGGCCATGACCACCCCCACCCCCTCCCCGAGCTGAGGGTCCCTTGTCTGCCGGGTCCTGACCACTGAGGATTGGGGGACAGGGAGCCCTTTGCATCCATTCCAGCCCCAAATCTCATCTTTTCTGCGCCCTACGCACCAGTCCCGACCTGGGCCCCAGCAGCTGGCAGCGCCCTGCAACGCTGACTCTCGCCTTCCTGCCCGCAGGCCTGCGCTGCGGCAGCGCGCTCTTCCGCCACGAGGTGGGCTATGTCCTGGGCCAACTACAGCACGAGGCGGCCGTGCCCCAGCTGGCGGCCGCGCTGGCCCGCCGCGCCGAAAGCCCCATGGTGCGGCACGAGTGCGCCGAGGCCCTGGGCGCCATCGCCCGGCCCGCCTGCCTGGCCGCGCTGCGTGCGCACGCGGAAGATCCCGAGCGCGTGGTGCGCGAGAGCTGCGAAGTGGCCCTGGACATGTACGAGCACGAGAGCGGGGCCGAATTCCAGTACGCAGACGGCCTCGAGAGGGTGCGCCCGCCTCTCTCCTAAGATCCCGCCCAGGTCGCAGGAGACTCCGCCCCTCCGATAGGCCCCACCCCCCGGGAGGCCCCGCCCACACCCTCCGGGAGGCCCCTCCTCCCTACTCAGAGGTCCCGCTCTCCCAGTGGCCCTGTACCCCCACCCCTCCAGGAAGCCCCGCCTCCCCCCAGTTGTCCTGTCACCGCCTCGTCCTGCACCGAGGGCGTGGTGGGCTGGGACTCAGTTTTCAGAGCTACTTCTCGATGCCAGGAGAGCTGCCGCGACTTTGGGGTGTAAGTCGGGTCTGCAGACATCTCATTTCCCATCCATCTGACTTTTGCCGTGTGAAAGTGCTCTTGGCCGCCATCTGTTTTGCCTCTGATCCTTGACTCCATAGGAAACCCTCACCAGGACGAGGCTGAGGGCTGTGCTGGCCTCCACCTCCTGGGCCTAGCACAGGGTTGCCCCCATCGAGGTGTTCGGGCGCAGGGTTGGGACTCCGGGAGAAAGTTTAGAATGTCCACCTTGGGAGGAAGGTTTCGGGACAATTTGTCCCCTGCGGGGGTCTCCTGGGAGAGAGTGGGACTACAGAGCTCAGGCTTCCGTGGAACAAAGGCCCCTGGGGCATCAGGGCTGCCCCAGGAGGCCTCCCCACACCCACCCACCCCTGCCCTAGACTGCAGTGATTCTGCCTGGGCGGGTGTGGGGAGGTGGTCCTTGGCTGGGCTGGGCTGGGCAAAAGGCACAGGGGCCAGACGGCAAGCCAGACCCCGGGATGCTGCCCAAACGGATTATTAAATTATTTTTGCCAAATGTTGACTCCTCGGTGTATTGGGGGAGGGGAGCTTGGGAGTGGGGGTGGCCACTCTCAAAGAATCCTCACGTGTGTCTGTGTGGTGGGGGAGGCATTTGGAGCGCTCACCTCGGGTCTGCCTGGATTCCGGTGACCATGGATAACTGGAGCTTGTACCTGTTTCACTGTCACGGGAAGGGCAGATCTGCCAAGCAGGCCTTCTCCCAGAGGGGCTCTGAGGTAAGAGCCCAGGCTGTGGGTTCTGGTTTCAGCCCTCCACTTCCTTGTACCCTGCCCAATGCATTAACCTTCTGCGCCGCCCAGGGGACTCCTACAGGAGAGTAGCTCTTATTTAAACTGCATCTTCTGTGTTGGCGTTCCAAGTGCTTGCACCCGTCTCCCTACTGCACGTCGGTCCACCCTAGCCCGCTCTCTGAGGCAGGCATTCACACCTCTGCTAAACTTCCAGCGCACCCTTCCTCCTCCCTGTTAGCAAGTAACTTTGCTTCCTACTCTGGTGACAAAATTAGCCAATTAGAACCTCCACCTGTTCCCGCCTGTCCCGTGTCCCCTCTGCCCACCCACCTGGGGCAGGTAGTGCCCCACACGCAGTTCCCTCCCATTGTGGATGACCCTGCGCCCAGGTGGTAGCCCTGTATGTGGAGCAGACGGGTGCTGCTGACCAAAAGGTTAGCCGTTCACGTCCTCCCAGAGTGCCTCAGAAGAAAAGCCTGGCAATCTGCTGGAAAATCAGCGACTGGAAACCTGGGGAGCACAGCTCTGACACACACGAGTCACCCTGAGTGGGACTGACTGAGGGGCAGCTGGTTCCATGTTTGTTGTTAGGTGCTGGCAAGGGGCCTCCGACTCATAGCACCCCAACACACAGCAGACCCTAACCCTGCGCAGCCCTGCACCAACCTCAATGTCTGCAGCTCTTCCCCCGTAGCATTCTGAGTGCCTTCCGGCCTGAGGGCCTCATCTCCCGGCACTATTTAAGATAATGTTTCAGGGCTATTCATAGCTTTCTAGGAATATATCAGACAGCGTTTCACTGCTATTCATTAGGTTTTCATTGGCCCATTCTTTGAGACGTGGATGGCCCCTTCCTACTGAGTCTGTCTCTGTCTGGAAGCTCCGCTGAAACCTGTCCACCATGGGTGACCCTGCTGGCGTTTGAAATACTGGTAGCATAGCCTCAAGCCTCACAGCAACACGCAAATCACCACAGTACGACAAACCGACAGACGTGTGGTGGACGCCATATTTACCAGCTTGAAATCACAGACATTTGTAAACTCACGGTTTCTGAAGCTCAGGAACCCGAGAGTGACTCACCTGAGGGGTTCCGGCTTGAGGTCTCAGATCTGTTCACTTATCCCCTCCTCTGCCTCCACTTGGTCCAGCCCCATCATTGCAGGCCTTGAACAGCGCAGTCCCCTCGGCCCTGGTCCCCGGCTCCGCCCCCGCGCTCTGGCTCCGCCCCCGCGCTCTGGCTCCGCCCCCGCGCTCTGGCTCCGCCCCCGCGCTCTGGCTCCGCCCCCGCGCTCTGGCTCCGCCCTCGCTCCCCACGTCTGTCCTCCCCGCTGCAGCCAGAGGGCGCCAGTGAGAACGAGTCAGGCCTGTCCTTCCTCTGCTCACAGTCCTCCAGGGCTCACGCCTCCCTCAGGTAAAAAAGTAGGAGCCCTTCCGGTGGCCCACAGGGTCTTGCACGCCCCCTCTCTGCCTCCCCTCCTCCTCCGTTCCTCTTGTTCACTCCAGCCACAGGAGGCTCCTCCCTGTTCCTCCAACTTGCCAGGCACTGTGCTGCCTCAGGACCTTTGCATGGTCAGTTCCCTCTACCTGGAACGCGTGTGATTATCCTCTGGATACTCACATAGCTGGTTCCCTTCCCTTGCACATCTTGGCTCAAATGTTATCAGGGACCCTGGTTCCATTCCTGGCCGGTCACCTCATGCGCAGCCCCCACCGTCTGTCTGAGGAGGCTGTGTGTTGCCGGGATGCTGGCAGGTTTCAGCAGAGCTTCCAGACTGAGACGGGCTAGGAAGAAAGGCCTGGAGATCAATTTTGAAAATCAGCCAGTGAGAACCCTGTGCATCACAACGGTCCAGCCTGCAGCCGATCGTGGAGACGCTGTGTGTGGCATCGCCGTGAGTCGGGGGCCACCTGGATGGCAGCTAACAGCTCACCTCTTAGCAGTTTCACCTTTGACATGGCCTCTCTCTGCTTACATCACTCTCTCCTTTCCAGCTTACTTTATCATTTAAGGTTCTGCTGACTTGTAGTACCCCAATGGCACATCGCTAAGTGCTCCACCACTGACTGAGAAGTTGGTGGCTCAAACCCACCCGGAGGCACCTCGGAGGACAGGCTGGTGACCTGCTTCTGAAAGGCCCCAGCCCTGGGGACCCCAGAGCACAGCTCCGCTCTGCACACACAGTGTCAGTGGAAGTCAGAATCGACAGCAAACGGACATTGGTGAGCTGCCTTGGAGCACTTGGCTGCTAACCGAGAAGTCAGCAGTTCAAACCTACCCAGTGACTTTGTGGGAGAAAGACTGGCACTCTGCTTCCATAAAGGTTAACGTCCAGGAAACCCCTCGGGGCAGTTCTACTCTGCTCTGAGTCAGATGGCACCAACCAACTGCAATGACTCCTCACCCTAAAGGTCGGCTTCATGGGGGCAGGGCGTTCCAGCTGCCTCTTCACAGCTGAGTCCCAGCCCAGGAAGGGTGCCTGGCCACAGTGACTCCAAAACCCATTGCCGTTGAGTCAAGTCTAAATCGTTACAACCTATACAGCACAGTAGGACACCTCAGGCTTTCCAAGCCTATAATCTTCATGGAAGCCAACTACCACATCTTCTTTCATGGAGCAACTGGTGGGTTCAAACTGCTGACCTTATGGTTAGCAGCCGAGCACTTAACCACTGTGCCACCAGGGCTCCTTTGTGAAATCTATCTATCTATCTATTATATCAACCACCTATGTATCTACCTACCTACCTACCTACCAGAAAACCAAACCACCGCCTGTAGAGTCAATTTCTACTCACTGCGCCCCTAGAGGGCAGAGTGGAACTGCCCCAGAAGGTTTCCAACGCTGTAACTTTAGGAAAGCCAACCACCTCATCTGTCTCACACAGAGCAGCTGGTGGGTTCGAACAGCTGACCTTTTGGTTGGCAGCTGAGTGCTTAACCAGTGCTACCAGGGCTCCTTCTGGCCACAGCAGGTGTTGCATACGTATTTGCGGAATGAATGAAGCAAGGGATGCAGCGGTGTGCAAAGCTGGGGCAGGACGTTCTCAGCAGGCACCAGGCTAAGTCCAGGGACACAAGGTGGGAGGACTTCGACAGGAGCCAGTGTGGTGTGGCCAGAGCCAAGGAGGAAGGAGGGGGCCCGGGGCCTCAGGAAAAGATCTGGGCTGGGATTAATCCTGGCAGATGGTGGCTGCGGGGGAGCCCCCCAATCCTCTTAGCCCAAAGCCCCTTAATATTTCCGCCGCACGGTCACCTCCGGGCCTTGGCTGCTTGGGGGCCGCAATGCCGGGGCTGGTGGACGAGGAGGGACCCGAAGACTGGAGCCCGGCCACACCGCTGTACAAAGAGTACCGGCCACCGCCACTGGACGCCATCCGTCTGCCCCGGGACGTGCTTTACCTGCTGCTGGCGGTGCTCCTGGTGGTGGCCGTGGCCTATGCCATCGTCGGCCACCTCATCAAGGACCTGGCCCATGACCTGGCTGGTGAGCCACCACCTACAGGCAGCCTGTCTGGGTTTGTGCTGGGGGGGTCTCAGGGCCTGTCCTAACCAGGGAGGATGGGGGGTGGGGGGGTGTTGGGGGGCCGAGGGTCTCTCTGGGGTCGGTGCAATGGGATGGGGTGGACCAGAACTGGGGAGGGTGGGAGTCTCTCTGGGGTCAGTGCAATGGGGCAAGGGGTGAATGGGGCATTGGGGAGGCCAAGGGTCCCTCCAGGTCAGTGCAGTAAAGCAGAGGGTGTATAAGAACTGGAGAGGCTGGGGTCGTGCTGGGCCCAGGATGGGGCAGGGTGGACAGGGCCTGGCAGGCTGCTCACCAACCCCCAACGACCACAGACTGGGCCTTCGGCCCGAAGCCAGACCAGGAGGACACCCCCCGGGAGCTCTGCCCGAGCCTGACAGGCGAGGACCTGGAGGGGCTGGATCTGCAGCTGGCCCTGGCCTGGCGGGGTGATGAGGACACAGGCGAGGGCGCCTCCACGGAAGCCCCGCCCCAGGCCCCCCGCCGGCCCTCCATCGCCTTCAAGGACCCACCCACCCGCAGCAGCTTCTGGAGGCTGGACTGAGCCGGGCCCTCCCACAAGCCTGCCCCAGAGAAGTGGTCACGTTCTCCACCAGTGGCTTCTGGCTGTTCCACGCTCCTGCCTCCCCACATCCCCGGGGCCTAGCTCTGCTCGGCCTCACCCAGCCGTCTAGCAGGCTGTAAGCCAGGAATGCTAAGATTTTGTTTAAAAAAAAAAAAAGTAATAGTAGCTGACCCTTGTTGTTATTAGGTGCCATGCAGTGACTGATGGGGACTGTGCACAGTGCACGGGAACTGCTGCCCAGCCGCGTGCGAGCTGTTGGGATCGTGGGCTCTCATTGGCTGATTCTCAGAAGTCAGTTGCCAGGCCTTTCCTCCTCGTCTCTCTCAGTCTGGAAGCTCCCCTGAAGCCCGCTCAGCTTCCTAGCATCATAGAAGCCTCCACAGATAGACAGGCGGCGGCTGCGCATGCGGCTCATTGGCTGGGAATCGAACCCTGGTCTCCCACATGGAGGGCGAGGACTCTACCACTGCACCACCGCCGCCCTCAGCTAACCCTCACCCAGTACTTAGTATGTGTCTGCTCCTGTGCTGAGTGAGCCCTCTCCATGTCTCCTTTAACCCCCTGGGGTGGACTCATCACCCCCATTCAACAAATGGGAGCACTGAGGCACAGGGCTGTAAATGACTTAGCCAAGTTCCCACAGTAGAGAGTTTTTCCCGTACAAAGCCCTGGAGTGATGTAGCTTGGAATACAGAAGCTCCAGGAGGGGGCTTGCATCCAACGCTCTCCTGGGCCCCCCTGCCTCCCCACCTTCTCTGCCCCCCTCTCCCACTTCATCTGTGCTCTGCTGCCCAGCATCTAGGTCCTTTCATCTCTGGGCATCATGACTTCCCAACTGATCAGAGATCCCCTCAAGGACAGTACTGAGGTGCCAGCCCCTTCCAAGCCTTGCCCAGGGCATGGTACACAGTAGGCGCTTAATATATGCTCGCCTGGCTGGTGGAAGTGAGCTTGTGGCTGGGATATCTGCGTTCCGTCATCCTGCCTCTGCTGAGTGGGCCTTCCGCACAAGACCAGGTATACAGTAAGCGCCCCATACATGCACGTGGAGAAGACGGCTGGCATCCTCCCCACCCTCAAAGGGCCCAGCAGAAGTCTCTGAGGCCCTGCTGGGCCTTCCCGCCACGTGCCAGGGTTGTGGTTGCTCCTGTGGCTTTGGGGTGGGGCCCCCTTTGCCCGGGCAGGGCCTGCTATCTAATCAGCCCAGAGACCAAGGTTGACGGGAGCAGGAGAGGCAGGAGCCTGAGTCACTGGCTGCACCCCAGTTCTCTGGACATGCAGGAGCAGCTGCTCACCCTTGTGCAGGTGTCTGGGAACCAGGACAGGGCGGTGTGAGCTGGCAGCGAGGGGGATGCCTGGCCTGAGTTCAGACCCTGTTCTGACACTGCTGCATGACTTTGGCTGAGCTGACCCCATGTGTTCAGGGTAGAAGCCTGCTCCGTTGGCTGATTTTCAGAAGTCAATTGCCAGGCCTTTCTCCCTACTCTACTGAAACCTGTTTAGCATTTTAGCCACACCCACATCTCCAGGAACAGACACACAGAGTGGAACTGCCCCAGAGGGTTTCCAAGCCTGTCAATCTTTACAGAAACAAAACCCAAACCAACCACCCTGCCATGGAGTCGATTCCGACTCACAGCGCCCCTAGAGAACAGAGTGGAACTGCACCGTAAGGTTTCCAAGGCTGTAATCACTACAGGGGAGTTCTGGTGGCGTAGTGCCTAAGGCATTTGACTGCTAACCAGAAGGCTGGCTGTTCAAACCCACCAGCTATTCCTTGGAAGGAAGGTCGGGCAATCTACTTCCGTAGTGATACCACCTTGGAAACCAAGGAGGGGTCTCTATGAGTCGGGTCTGACTCCACAGCAGTGAGAATCACTGCAAAAGCAGACCACCACATCTTTCTTCTACAGACTGGCTGGATGAGCTTGAACTGATTTTCTCCCACAGAGCAGGTGGTGGGTTCAAGCTGCTGACTTTTCAGTTAGCAGCTGGGCGCTTGGCCGTGTCACCCAGGCTTCCAGTGCGTTGGCTAGGATGAGGAACTACAGTGTAGCTGTGTATGCAACAAAGAGGAGCTCTGTATCATATTTTTATTATATTCCAGTTGAGGAGTTCTGGTGGCATAGTGGTTAAAGCATTTGGCTGATAACCAAAAGGGTGGCAGTTCAAGTCCACCAATTACTCTGCAGAGAATATGATGAGGCAGTCTGCTTCTGAAAAGACGACAGCCTCGGAAATCCTGAGAGGCAGTTCCACTCTGTCCTCTGGGGGCGCTGTAACTTGAGCTTTGCTTCTGTAAAGATGGGCGCTGTGGTGGTAGTGCCTAAAGCACTTGACTGCGAACCAGAAGCCTGGGGGTTCAAACCCACCAGCCACTCCTCAGAAGGAAGACTGAGCAATCTACTTCCATAATGATACCGCCTCGGAAACCCAACTATGAGCTGAATTGACTTCATGGCAATGAGTGGTTTTTTAGTTCTGTAAAGATTGACAGCTTGGAAACCCTCTGGGGCAGTTCCACTCTGTCCTCTAGGGGCGCTGTGGGTCGGAATTGACTTGGGGTCAGTGGGTGTGGTTCTTGCTTTTGGTTATATTCCAGTGTGTCAGTTCACAAGTGGGTGCTGGGTGTGCTGAAGGAATGTCAGGGCCATCTCGCTGGAGCTCGGCAGAGAGGATGCAGTGGGGTGGCCTGGGTGATGGTGGCGGGCAGGCGGGGCCAGTTTCCAAGTTAATTGTTACAGGAGTCCAGAGTCTGCCCTGGGTGTGGGGAGGGGTGGGTGGTGCTAAGGGGGCCCCTCCGGGACGTGGGCTCGCCTGGGGTGACAGACCCAGGACTGCTCCCTCGCTGGCTGGCCATGGACACCCTGAGGACCTTGCTGCTTGTCGCCCTGCTCTTGCTGCCTGCCGAGGCCCAGCAGGGTAGGAGCCACCTCCAGGCCAGGGCTGCTGGGCTGCAGGGTGGGGGTGGTTATGGGTTTGCCCAGTCTCCATTTTCCATAATGAGAAACTGAGGCATCTGAGAGGGGACAGGAAGAAGGGGAATGAGGGCCAGGCCCTTCTTGGAGCCTGAGCCTTTCCCCTGCCCCCCGAGCCCCCCTTGAACCCCATCCCATCTCCAAGCCCTTCCTCTCTCTGAGCTTCTTTTCAGCCCCCTCTCGCTTCTCTGCAAGGAGCCCCGGGGCGAGGGGAGGAAATCAGTGGTCAGGCTTGGCTGTTCACAAAGTTTCGGACTCACCTGCAGCTCTGCGGAAGAAAGACCTGGCAGTTTGCTTCCATAAAGATGACAGCCTGGACACCCTACGGGGCAGTTCCACTCTGTCCCATGGGGTCTCTGTGAGTCTGAGTTGACTCCACAGCCCCCAACAACTCTTCTCTGGGGCCCCCCTTTATGTGTGCCCCTCTCTTGAGGTGCCTCCTCCTCGCTGAGGCCCACCCCCTTCCCAGGATCCCCTCCGTCCCACTCCCCTGCCTGGAAGTCCCCTCCTTCTCCTCCTCTGAGCCCCGTCTCCCCTTCAACAGCCTCCAAACAGCAGCTGAAGCCTTGGCTGGTGGGCCTGGCGGCTGTGGTGGGCTTCTTGTTCATCGTGTATGCTCTCATGCTCGCCAACCGCATCTGGTGTTCCAGAGCAAGGTGGGAGCCCTCCCCGCCCGCAGCGCCCCCGCCCCTCCTCACCCTCCACAGCCACTCCCGGACCCCCCACAGTGCAGGGACCTCCCCCCTTCCCTCCTCCTTGCACTCTCTCTTTGCAGTGGGGCCCAGCGCCTCTGCCCCCTGATGTCCCCATTCCCTGCCCCTCCTGGGACCCCCACCCCCTAGCCCAGGCCCTGGGCCTGCAGCTCCTACTTCCCGGAGTTCATGAGCCCCAGCAGGGAGACCCAGCAGAAGTAGCGCACCACTATCTGCCCTTCACTCCCCTTGAACGCCCCCATCTCTGCAGAGACGAGGACGAGGAGGAGATGATGTTCAGAATGCAGGCCCCCAACTTGTACCAGGACGTGGGCTCGAGGTACTGCCTTGTGAGCGTGTGTGGCAGTCATGTGCAGGGGCCTGGGTGAGCCCCCAGGTGGGCAGGGCGATGACTGAGTGCTGGCCTCGACTTCCTCGTGGGTGTCCTGCCTCGGGGCTCGGCGCGTGCGTCCCCTCTGCCCGGACCTTTCCCCGTTCCTTCTTCCGGCCGGCTCCTTCTTTCTCAGCACCTGCTCAGATGTCTCCTCCTCAGAGGTCCACTCCGACCACCAGCCTTCCGGATACCCTCCGCCCTGTAGTCCTGCCTCTGCTGCTTTTGGGCGCTAACCCCTGGCTGCAATTATGAGTCATTTACTGGTTTCTTGACCATTTCTCCCTCTGGACTGTGGCCTCTACTAGGTCCCGGCTGTGTCCCTGCTGCCCATGACACAGGTCACACAATAGGCACGTCGGGTGACGCTGTGATGTGCGACTGCAGTGTCTGTGTATATGTGTGTGACCTGGTGTGAGGACTCTTCTGGAGAAAGGTTCTCTAAGGCCCCCACCGCTTCCAGACACAGTGACTCTGGTGGGTGCTCAGGGGGTGGTCAGGGCTGGGGGCCCTGCTGAGACAAGGTCCCAAAAGCAGGAGGCGTGTGGGGGAGACCAGCCTGGCTGGGAGGCTCTCCCTGAGACCCAGCTGTGCCTGGGGGAGAGATGAGGACTGACCACTGGCTTTCCCCAGGACCCAGCCTGAGTGGCAGGTGACTGCAGCTCCCAGGATGTGCCGGGTGGTCGACACCCACCACTGTCCCTGCACCTGTGGCTTACTCCATGCCTTATTAGTTCCTCCACTCAGCCCTTCGTCTGTTGCCTGGCCCTGCATGCATCATCCCTCCATCTGTCCCTCATTCACCCATCTCCCCCCATCTACTCCGCCCTCCCTCCATCTACCTACATAGCCACCCAGTCATATGCCTGTGCATTTCACCCTCCAACCACCCCCTACCCACTACCCCACTGACCCATCCATCCATCCACACACCCACCCATCCATGCCCGTCATTCTCTCCTCCCTCCAACTCATTCACTCATCGACCCATTCATCCCTCCATGCAACCATCCATTCACCTAAATACTAATCTCCCACCCACTTATCCATCTGTCCACCCAGCCATCCATCTGTCCGCCCTGGCATCTGTCCATCCACCCATCAGTTATCTGTCTATCCATCCATCTGTCCATCCATCAATTGATTCATCCATCCATCCACCCATCTGTCCATCTATCCATCTACCCATCAATTGTCCATCTATCTATCCATTGCCTGTATATCCATCCATCCATCCATCCACCCACCCATCTGTGCATCTGTACGTCCATCCATCCATTGGTCCATCTATCCATTGACCTATCCATCCACCCACCTACCCATCTGTCCATCTGTCAACCCATCCATCCACTCATTCCCTCAGATGAAGCAATTGATCCTGGCTTCTGTAAACAGGAATTCACAAGGCTGCCTGTTTGGAGGCTTTGATGCCCCACTAGCCTGGGGCTGATAGTGATTGTGAAACACTCCTCACGCACCTGGCACAGGTGAGTGTCCCTTAAAGTGGGAGCCGTCCTGTTCTGATTCTGATCTGGGGCTTCTGCCTCCTACAGCAAAGAAGGTAAGAGGGAGAAGAAGAAGAAGGAGAACAAGGAGGAGAAGAGTGAGGAGGAGGAAGGAGAGAGCAATCTGGGCCTAGAGCTGGAGGAGGACAAGGAGTCCATGGACCACAGGAATGAAAAGAACACAGCCATGTGAAGATACCTCCTCCAGGCAGCTCTCCAGAGATGTCCCGATGGCCCTTTTACACCCTATAAGCAATGACTTGGACCTGAGGCCAGTGATACAACTCCTTTGGGGACTCAGAGTAGTGTCCCTGAATGAATAGGGTTGGGATTTTTTGTGCCCCCCTCACGAAGCCTCCTTGGGCACTATGTGGTCTCTCCCCACTCCACTTCCCAAACTTGGTGCTGAACTTGGGCCCCACCTGATGACTTTTCTTGCACTTGGAAGCATTCATGGATGAGGGGAAATGCTCAGACCCCACAGCTTCCTGCCTCCACTGCTTGGACCCTAAGCCTGATTTCTTTTCCTCTGCCTGATTTCCATTGCCAGAATGGAAATTCTGTTGCTTCTCCCTCCCACTCAGCCTGAGAACCAACACTGGCCAAATGCAGCCACCTGATGCTTGCATAAAATGATTGGAATCTTTAGAAGGACTCTCGTGGTCTGTTAGGACTGGTCCCCCTGGGGCTGGGGGTGGGGGGAGGCTGCCTTTGGGGGTGGGGCAATGCCTGGACAGGTGCGCTAAATGCCCTTCTTGGGTGCCTGGATGCCCGGAGCAGATCAAACACTCCGCTGGTGGCCTGTGATCTTGTTTATTCTGGCCTGAGACCAGCTTCCCTGGACTTTGAGCCCTGAGCGAGTCCCCTGGAAATCCTGCCCGGCCCACACACTGTGGTTTAGGGCACGTGACTTGACAACATGGTTCTGAGGGGTGCCTCGGGGCACTTTCTCCTCCCTGATGCTGCCCCCAACCCCTTTCTCCTCACGTCCTTCAGGCCCTGGACCTTGCCCTGAATAGCAGGCACTTCCCAACAGGACATAGATAAAGCCTAGACTCTGGGGCTGGAAGCTGGGGTTCAGAGTCCCTGCATGCACAAATGGTTAAGCACTTGACTACTAGCTGAAAGGTTGGCGGTTCAAACCCCCCTAGAAATGTCTCGGAATAAAGAGGCCTGGCAGTCTGCCTCCGAAAGGTCACGGTCTTGAAAACCCATACGGAGTAGTCCTGCTTTACACCTTGGGGGCTCCGTGACTTGGAATTGATTCGAGGGCAACTGAACAACAAAAGCTGAGGTTTTGGTAGGACCCAATCTCACAAGGTGCCTCTGCCGCCAACACTTCCAGTATCATCCACCAGGGGGCGGAAAAACCCACAAAAGCAATCATAACTGTAACAGTGGCCCTAATAGCCACACCCCACTGAGCCCCTGGCACCTTTATTATTCGCTCACTGCCAACAACCCCTAACTGCTCCTGTTTTCCGGCTGATGATACTGAGGCTTAGAGAAGGGCTGGAACGCACTAGGCCAGTTCTCTCTGGGTGTTGTTGGAAGAACTGCAATTCCACCCCCGGGGCTGCTCAAAGGATGGGGGTGTTGGCGGGTTCTGGCTAAGGTCAAATTTGGGGGTTTACACTGAAGGACGGGAGAGGGTTTAGGGCAGTTACAGGTTGGGAGCCCAGGAGCTGTGCTCCTTTGGAATGCTGTGTGGCCTTGGGAAGGTGGCTTCATCTCTGACTCTCCAGTTTGTTCCTGCAAAGATTTCTGACCATCCAAAGCTTCTGTGGGGCTTGAAAGGGACGCCGGGGCTTAAGGAGCCTTTGCAAGGGCTGACACAAGAAATAACCTCTTTATCTCAGCGCTTGAAGATCCCCACACCCCAACCCATGGCTCTGGCTGCAGGAAGTGAGGGGGTCAGGGCTGGGCCTTAGGGAGACTGGACTCTCGGGTGCTTGGGTTACCCAGAACCCGGGGAAGGGGCATTCACCTCTCATTTCTTGTGGCAGCAGCCACACCCTTCTCTAGGGGGTAGGCTGCTTCCTCCTCTGATCCACAAGGAGGAGGACAGATGGACTGGGATGGACAGCGTCTGAAAGGCCCTTTGCCAGGTCTCCCTTCTCGTGGTTTTGATCCTGAGCCTGGTTCAGGCCCAGTCCTGTATGGCCTAGGGGAAGAGTGTCCCCATATGGTGGCCCAGGTCACTGACCTGGCCCTGCTGCCTGGCAGTGGCCTAGAGGAAGCTGTGGCTGCTGGCTCTGGGGGCTGTACTGGCCCTCCTCTTCCTCATCTTTGTCTTCACCATGATCTATGCTTTCTGGTTCAGCGAGTCCAGTGACAGGTGGGCCTACAGCCCCACCTGAGCCCTGCCCCTCTCAGCCCCGCCCCTCACGAGCCCCGCCCTGCTCCACTGTCCCCTTTCTTTCTGAGCCCCCATCCTTCCTGCAGGTGGCTTCCTGGGCCTGTGGGGTAAGGTGAGGTGGGGCAAGGAGGCAGGGGCAGGGAGTAATTACTTGATTCAGAATCAGTGGGGACCTCAGCTGGCTTCAGCAGCTTCCCTTCCTACCACCAACCTGCAAAAACGAGGTGGCTTCCTCACAGAAAATCCCATTCCTAATTAAAATGGGGTGTTCAAGGTACCCCCGTCACTCACACTCCCATCCAGCATCTATCCACCTGTTCACATCCCTCCACTAAGCCACTCATCCACTCCTCCACCCATTCATCCACATCCATTTATATATCTATTATTATCATCCCTGCATCCATCCATCCGTCCATCCGTCCACCTGTATCTTCTAATCCACATATTCACCCATCCTTCCATCCATCTATACATCCATTGTCCATACCTACATCTTTCCATCCATCCTCCATCCACCTATATCTTCTAATCCACATATTCATCCATCCTTCCATCCATCTATACATTCATTGTCCATATCTACATCCATCCATCCATCCGTCCACACCAGCCATTCATCTTCCCATCCATTCACCTGCCTATCCAGCCAGCCACCAACCCATCCAGCCATCCATCAATCCATCTATAACCTACCCATTTATCCACCCCTCCATCCCTCCTTCCAGTCCACACATCCATTCATTCACCCCTTTAGCCATCCATCCATTCAACAACCCATGTACTCGCTCAGCCAGCCACCCATCCCTCCATGCATCCATTCATCCACTTTCCCACCTTCTGTCCACACAGCCATCTGTTCACCTGCCCACTCACTAACCTATCCAGCCCTCAGTCTGCCCATTCACCAGTCTCTCTGTCTGTCCATGCAGCCACACTGTTGAGATCCAGGAAGCCAGAGAGGCTGAAGGTTAAGAACAAGGTTTGGCTCATGGAGCCTGAGTATAGGTTCCACCACTTCCTTTCAGCTTGAAACTTCCCTTTCACTTCCTGGTCAACTTGGAGCAAGTGTCCTAACCCACTTGAGCCTCAATTTCCTCTTCTGGAAAATGGGAACAATAGGACCCATTGAAAGAAGTGTGGACAGTCTGGACCACTGTAAGTCCTTACAGAATTTGAATATCAGTGTTTTTATCTGGGTCCTCCTTGTTTCCTCAGTAATGAAGAGAAGAGGAGAGACACGAAGGAGGAGAGGAACAGAGAGGACAATGGGGCTTGGCTGGAGGAGAAAGAGGGGTCTCCAAACCATGACAGACTTAGCTCCTCTGTGTGAAGGCTCCTGCCTGCTCCTCCAGGCAGCCCTCCAGAGACACCCCAATGCTCCTTCAGCACCCTATAAGCCATGAACTAGACCTGGGTCAGTAAAATGACTCCATCTGGGATTCAGAATCTCACTCTCAACTGCCGTCAAGTTGGACCCAACTCATGGCGACCCCTCCTTGGGTTTCTGAGGCAGTATCACTATGGAAGTAGATTGCCCAGTCTTCCTTCCGAGGAGTGGCTGGTGGGTTTGAACCGCCAGCCTCCTGGTTAGCTGTCAAATGTCTTGGGCACTACGCCACCAGAGCTGTCCTCGAGTGACAGGGACTACCTTTGAATGACGGGCTCTTTGGGCATTACATGGTCTCCTCATACCTGCTTCCCCAGCTTGCTCCCTAGGCCGGGCAAGTCACACTCTACCTTCCCCGAGACCTCCACTGTGTTCTGTCTCTGTCTGGTCTCCGTCTCAGACATCTTTCTTACTCGCAGCCTGATTTCTACTGGTCTTTGGATTGCATCAAAGGAACAAGCTCCTTCTCCCGCCCTCCCACCTCCAAGATCCATCAAAGTCCTGCTTTACTGAATCCATAAGCGTCATCTCTTCAGTCACATGGGGGATGAGGGTCACCAGCACATCCTGCCGAACCTCCTCTCTTTTCTCTGAAAAACGATGCAAATCTTTGTGTGACCCTGGGCAGATTGCCCCTGCCCCGACTGTTCCTGAACGTGGACTATGAGCTGGCTCAATGCAAAGGTCATCTCCTGGGAGGTCAGGCCCCTCCTCACCACCGGCTGAGTTTCCGGGTGCTGTTGTGGAAGCTGTGACTCTTCAGAGGCTGTGGGGTTGGGGTGGGGACGCAGCACCGCTCTCTCATTCATTCTTGACTCCTGGTGATGCTCCACAGAGGGGCTGGAGTCCCCCTCTTTATGCTGTGTGGCCTCGGGCAAGGAACTTAACCTCTCTGGGCCTCAGTGTCTTGCCAGGTGGTGATGCAGTAGTAATCACTAGATCCTTCATAATGTCGTTGTGAGGACTTAATGAAATAATGTGCATGAAAGTCCTCAGCCCAGGACCCAGCCTCTAGGATTCTAGTAATCGTTAGCTCTTATCCTGAAATGGGGAAGATGGGGTGAATCAATGAGCTCCCCCTTGGACTTGGGGGATCCTGAAGGTCACAAGGTGTATCTTTAGACACTCCTGTATCCACGGTCCAGGGGGTGGGGCCCCTGAAGGGGAGGGGCAGGGGTGCAGGGAGGGGAAGGGTCTATCTCCATCTCCCTCTCCACAGGGGCGGGACTTCTCCACTAGGGGGCGCTTGGAAATGTTTGGGGCTTTTCTTTTTTGGGCAGTGGGGGGCCAGGAGGGCCTGCAATGCTGGGGTAACACCGGAAGCCAAGAATTGCTTCACCTCAGGGACCAAGGGCTGAACAATACTGAGATTTCCTTGAGATCAAAGCTGGACTGAAGCACCGACCTCGAACCCAGGCTCAGCCCCTAACCCTGGACTGAGTCC